ATACAGCAGTGAGTGTTCTGTGGTTTGGAGGCGTACATGTTTTGCACATTTTTTGTTAACATGTTTTCCTAGATATTTCATGTGCTCTTGTAAGTGATAGTGGTTTTGAAATTTATTTCTAGTTGTTCATTGCTGTTCTCTAAAAAATATAGTTCATTTTTATACGTTGACTATGTATGTATTCTGGAATCTTTGCTAAATTATTAGTCTTAATAAGTTTTTTAAAGCTTCTGTAGGAGTTTTGATTTATGTGATCATGTACTACTTGCTTTCCGATCTGTATGCTGTTCATTTATTTTCCTTGCTGTGTTCTACTGTAATGCAAGTGCAGCGTTGAACTGAAAGGGTTGGAGTGGGCATCCTTAGCTTATTCTTTGTATTAGGGGGACAACATTATGTATTTATAAGTAAGTCTGATGTGAGCTATAGGTTTTTTTGTTTTTTTTTTTACAGATGCCCTTTATTGGTTTGAGGAAATTTCCTTCTGACTAGTTAACTGAGATATTTTACCATGAATAGGGGTTAGCATTTTCAAATTATTCTCCTACATCTACTGAAATAATTTAAAAAATGCATGTATAAATGAAATACTTCAATATACACAAAGTAAACGAGAAAGAAAAATTAACAAACTAACCACTGTTGAAGAGAATTTATAATTTTCTCTCAATCATTGATCAAGCAAACAAAAATTCAGGAAAGGTACAAAAGAATTAAACCACAATTAACAAGTTTAATCTCATGTCCAAAAAAAAGAACTCTGTATCTAGTAGTTAATGAATTTATATTCCTGTTATATCCATGAAAGAATTGTTAGAATTCTTAATATATTATTTAATAATTCATTTTCTGACAAATTTCAAAGTCTTGAAGACTTGACAAATATAGGGTATTTTCTTCAACACCAGTGTTACTATGACAATTAAAAAAAATCATACCCATATATTTCAAAATTTCTAAAAATAGGCACTTTTACTCTAATGAACATTTTCTTCCAAGATTTATTCTCTTTGCAATTATCATGCATTATTCAGACAACTGTGTCTTCGATTTAATGATGTATGGTATCTTATAGACCCAAGAAGAAAATACTTAGACCTGAACTTTAAATAATATACTGCATATAAATATTTGAGTAATTCAGAGAAGTACTCAGAGGGCGAATGCTTATGTTAGTACAGGGTAAAAGGCTGAAAATTTTGACATATTCATCTAATTTGAAAGTTTAGGAAAAAGAAATAAATTTAAAGTAGAAAGAAAGAAATCATAACTATAAGAGCAGAAATCAATAAAGTAAGAAACAAATTTCTAGCTGATAAGATTATGGAGCCTAAAAGTTAATCCTTTGAAATGAATGGCAAAATAAGCCTGTAGTGAAATTTATAAACAGGATACAAAGATAGTGCAGGATTCAAATGAAAATATATAAAGATACATCAGAAAATAGATAATATGATAAAATGATGAACATTGTAACAAACACTGAAAACTTGAACAAAGTGAGCAAATTCCTGTGAAAAATATAACTTGTTAAACCTTGAATCAATAGGTCGTTCTATGGCTACTGAAAATAGATATTAGTTATTTAAAATATTCTCATGAAGGAAGCACCAGATCAGGATAGTTTTATAGATGAGCTCCATCAAAATTTCAAACAAAAGATTTTTTCTACAGTCCTACACAAATTTAACCAGAGAATAAAAACAGACTAATTCTCAGTTTTTGTTGTGCTGGTATAGCCTTGATCCTAAACCAAAAGGTTAGTGAAAGGAAAATTTTAAAGGTCAGAATCACTTGTCAATAAAAGTGTAAAAATCTTTAATGAAATATCACTGAATTTAAGAGATCTTCCTCAACCTGATAAAATGTAACACCAGCAGGTATCATTTTTAATGGTAAAATACTAGAAAAATCTCACTTAAAATTAGGATTTAAAAAGGAATGTAGAGGCACCTGGGTGGCTCAGTGGGTTAAAGCCTCTGCCTTTGGCTCAGGTCATGGTCCTAGGGTCCTGGGATCGAGCCCCACATCCGGCTCTCTGCTCAGCAGGAAGCCTGCTTCCTCCTCTCTCTCTCTCTCTCTGCCTGCCTCTCCATGTACTTGCGATCTGTCTGTCAAATAAATAAATAAAATCTTTAAAAAAATAAAAAATAAAAAGATAAAAAGGAATGTAAAATTTAATTGCTTCTTTCCAGCATTGTGATTATCAGCATAGAAAGACAAGAAAAAGGAAGAAGAAAGACCTTAGGATTAGCAAGATTGTCTATGGAGAAAAATCCAAATTGAACCATATAAAATTCACTAGAAGTAAAAAGAGAGACTTTAACAAGGTGGTTGGTTAACATTATTTTACAATAAAGTATTTCCATATATGAGCAATTAGGTTAGTAATCAGAATTTTAACAATATTTCTTACAGCAGTGAAAATGATAAGATGCAAAGCATAAATCCAATCAATGTGGGAAATTTGAGCAAAGTTAAAAATTTCACAGAAACTTAAATGGAGAATGCCTATCGCTTGGCTAGTAAACAATACTGTAATACATGCCAAGGCTCCCTAAATTGATGTATTGACTCATTGCAGTTCATATCAAAATTCCATTAGGATGTTTTGTACAATTTAATGACCTGAACCTAAAATTTATATGGAAGAGAAAATGTTCGAGTTATGATGGATTTGCTTTTTGATATATAACAATATAATAACAAAGAGAGTGAGTTATTGGTTTATGGATAAATGGCCAGTACAAGGGAAAAAAAAATAGAGAACCAAATAGATCCTAGCAGATAGGATACATTTATTTATAACTGAGGTGACATCACAGATCATTGGGAGAAGGTGGAATTATTAAATAATGCCGAAATATGTGTTATACGTGTGGAGAAAACAAAGTTGCGTCCTTATCTCATACCATACATAAACTCACTTCAAAATAGGCAAGGATGTAAATGCTAAAAACAGAATTTTTTAAATTTTAGAAAAAAATATGAGAATGTCCATTCATAAGCTTAGGCACAATTTCTTAAACAAGACACTGAAAACACTACTTCTAAAAAAGATTGATACATTCAATGACATTAAACTTAAGTACTTGAATTCATCAGAATGTTAAATGACAAGATTCAAGTAGAGATAACATAATTGCAGTATATGTAAACTCTAGAATTACTAGCAAAATAGATTGACTTCCATCAGGAACATAATGAGATTTGGAAGGAAGCAACAATTGCAAATCACATATACCCAACTATCCCCCAACTCTATGCACAAACCCACGCAAGGCCACTCACAAAGGCTAATAAAATGAACTTCATTTTTTGCTGGTGTCATTCTTATCTTACACCAGAGGCAGATCTGATTCTTGACTAATACCAAAAGCTTGTAATCTTTATGCTGTAGTATACCTGGCACATTAAACTATCATTACCCTGTCCTTGAGCATTTACATTTACAAGGTGAAATCTTGTTATAAGCTGAATAGGAATTCTTATTATGTCTCTCCTCAATAGCTTCATCTGTGGTATCCCCTTTTTTCCCAAATCCATTTATAATGTATACACTAATTCTGTAAATCCTTTCGTGCTCAGTCTTTTGGGCTATTGTGTGGTAATTGTGGTTTCCATATCGGTTGGGGCTGTAAGAGCCTATGATTTGATTGAGTTTAAAGTTTTATGATATAAGGCTTTGGAAGGAAGATAGCAGCGAACCCATTCAGTGAGACCATATGATCAAAACAGATCAATGTCATTTATGTAACCATTAAAAGGAGGAAAATAAAAGTTCCTGGCAACAGACTCTTCCCTTTCTCAAGAGTGCAGGGGTAAAAACAAACCAAAAAAAAAGAAAAAAAGAAAAAAATGTACAGAGTATTTCTAAGAAGAAGTTGGAAATATTGCTACTTTAGACACCTTATAAAACGTGAGCTCTCAGTGTTTTATATACATTACAGGAAAGCATTTACTGTGTGATAACTGAATTTGGTCTATTTAATGAATAAAGTATGGCGTAAGTAGACAAAAGTAGTCATTTCTTGAAATAACACTTTTCATTTATTAGGCATTTTCTGATTGTAAAGAAGGAAAAATACTGTAATAAGGGATTCTATTCTGTAAGATGTGCCTATTTTTGAGACACATGTAGGAGAAAAAATATATTAAGAAACAAATAGCATGCTTACTTATGTATGTGATATATTTCATAATTAAGTGTGAAGACAATCTCTTTTAACCATCAACTCAGTGCTATTTTTGCCATAGCATGATTAACATTTTAAAATTTTGTAATAGAGATCTTTAATTATGTTAATTATTACTGCTCTGTTTTAGGCTATATCTTAGAAAATGTAACTGTGTGTAATCAATACACAATTTAAATATATTAGTAAGTTTATGGATGGTTTATTTCTCATTTTCTTTTCAAAGCAATGGAGGAACAGCTAAACTAATACTAAAAGAATATTGTTTAAGATGTCTTAAATTATACTTCTTTTCCATGAGTGTGAAAAATGAAGAATTGAGTACATTTAATTTATTAGTCATGCATATTAGAAAAAGGCACAGGAATGTTCTTGAAATAACATATTGTTTGCTTTGAAATTTATATAAACTTCAGTGCCCTTGTGTAAAAGCATCGGAGACTGACTTAACCTAGCTATTTTTAACTTAGCTTTTTGTTCAATGGATTTTATCAATCAGAATCAAATCACATACATATATCATTTAGTATTATATATTTTTTATTTAGTATTTGATATTATTTCAAGCTTTAGGGCATTTAGGAAATTTATTTTACACATTTTAAGAATTTATTTTAAGAATGCTATCTTCACATTATAAAGTATGTATGAAAGTAAGTGTGAGCTCATAATGAATTTCCTTCTCTATTTTTTATTCTCAAGTATTTCATTCAAAACTCTTTCATTTGTTTTCAGGTTGGTGAGGAGGTTTCTTTTTCCCTTAATAATCAGCAACTTTAATTATTGCTATTGTTTGCTTCATAGGGTCAAAAAGAATAAGTGATAGTGAAGTTTCTGACTATGACTGTGATGATGGAATTGGTATAATATCAGGTAAGAATTTCAGAATTATTTTATAGTAATAAAAAGGAAGGGTTATTCATCACTATCTACCAATAAACAGATTAAATAATAAGTAAAATAAGAAAGAACTTGCCTCTTTATCCACCCCCCCCCCAAAGAAACAACCTCATGGCAATTTAACCCCTTGAATAATTCCGGTTGCTAGAACTCTTGTATCACTTTTAAACTGAATATTCTTACTGAAATATGTCAGTTAAGTGAATACTTCCAAGCTTTTTATTTTTAAACTACTAAATAATAAGGATTTCACCATAAATTTGAAGAGTTATTGTATAATTGAAACTTCTTTATACTGCATAATAGCGTAAAAAAATCTTTTTGACATCACCAACATACCCAAATATGTCAAATATTTGTGCTTTTTGAAATTTTTTCATTGTTGTCATGTTGATTATATATCAGATGCAGCTTTATTTTAAAATTATGGTATTGTAGTTTTAAAATATTGCCTGATTCATGGTTGGAAATTTACCTGATGACTAAAAAAATATGAAGATAATTTCAAATCCTCAAAATCTGTTACTGTTAGAAATTTGAAGCATTACTGTATTTTTTTTCCATATTCTTTTTATCAACATGAAAATCGGGATTATGATTGTGGTTTCTTTCTTTCTTTTTTTTTTTAACCAATGTTTATTGAGCTCTTTGTGTAAACTGTCTCTCTACTTTAGAAGAGTTCACATTCAATTGGAGAACAAGGGAAATGTATGGTTTGTTTTTGTTTTTTTTTAATAATTTTTTAATAAACATATAATGTATTATTAGCCCCAGGGGCACAGGTCTGTGAATCGCCAGGTTTACACACTTCACAGCACTCACCTAGCACATACCCTCCCCAATGTCCATAACCCCACCACCCTCTCCCTACCCACCATGATTGTGGTTTCTGAGATGTTATCTTTTTGTGGGCTCATAACTGTAGTAAATTACATTTACATAAGTAACATGATAACTAAGACTTACACGTTAATTTTGATGAAATTTTTTTCTTTTTTTAATGTCCTTTTTGTTTTAAACTCCATCATTAATAGTAGTTATCAATAGAGACTAAATACTTCAATCAATAGTTTATCAAGTAATTTGACTGTCAGCTGAATCAAACCTACATTCTTTATGAAATTGTTCCTGAGGCATTTTGAATGTGAATTGCATAAATTCATATACACACTACCTTCTTACCCCCATGTTAACTAGCATTTTAAATAACTAGTCTAAGTTTAGACACCAGCAAATCTGTTAGTACTTTGTTCTCCATATGAAAGGATTCATTTCCAACTGCACATTACGTGTCTGTCAAATTCAAAGTATCTGTTACAACCATTCAAAAACCCTTTTAACCTGAACTATCAGCCTTTTCTCAATAATGAACAGTTTCAGCTGCTTTATTTAATTTTTCCAAGTTTGCAAGGCAGATGTCTTGAAAATTAACTATGCCAGAGGTAATATTTCCCATGTGCTTGCTTACTTTGTTTATTCTGACTAATTCAAGTCAGAGGTAATTTTTTTATATTTGCATTGCTAATATTCTTCAAAGTAAATAGAAACTTTGATTGATATTGAAATTTAGGGTTCTCAGGGAAACAACTGCTGGCTTGGATTTTTGTGCCCCAGTGATATACTGAATAGGGAAAGGAGAATGGTTGTAACTCATTCTTCTTTGAACCAGTTGACTCACACCACAATGCAAATAAATGGATTAAATATATATATATATATATACATATATATATAAATAAATATATGAGTTTGTAGCCATTAGAATGTTAGTATTATTTTCTACTCTGACATGAACCAATATACAAACACATGTAAATAATTTATTTTCCATTGGGAAGGTAGAGTGGTGTTTTAATAATTAGCTCTTAAATATCACATATAATATTCTGATTTTCTAAGTTAATTACCTAACCCCAATACTCATTTTTTATCACTTCCGAGTAGCTCTTTATATTATTAATAATGAATATTTTCTTAAAACTCTTTGTTTCTTTTTAGTTTTCATGAGATTGCATTATTTGAATTTTCTTCTTGTAGTAACTCTTCCTCCTTTTCTCAGTAGTCTCCTTTAAATTCCATAGTCATATCTCTTTTTTCTATATATATTCCCTTACCTTGGATTTCAGCGATGCTCTTTTTATAAATGCTACTCAAAACTTTATTGACAGTCCTAATGCCTTTTCCAAGATTCTTTTCCTCATGTATAACTATTTGCCTATGAGGCTGAGAATACTATTATCTCCTCCTTTCCAAACTGGTAAACTTTCTAAATTTCTCTCTGTATAGTATACTTTTTTTTTTTACCCCAAAGATCTAACATTTAACATTGGACAGAGAGAGCTTATGCGCCAGCGCCGTCCAAGCAGGAGGAGGGGCAGAAAGAGAGAGAGAAGCAGGCTTCCCACTCAGCAGGGAGCTCGATGCAGGACTCCATCCCAGGACCCTGAGATCATGACCTGAGCTGAAGGCAGACGCTTAACTAACTGAGCCACCCAGGCACCAATTTGTAGTATACTTTTAACTTCCTGGTGGGCTAGTCAAATGTTAAGAGTCATTTATTTCTTCCCTTTTCTTGCTCTTGTATCTGATCACAGATTGTTGTTGGTTCATATTAGAACGTCCCCAGATTCCATTGTTGGACTTATTTGCTGTCTACATTCACTACTCTAGTGATCACATCTCTTCAAAGTCCCATCCTTCAAATAGCATCTGTATGCTAAACTTCACACATGTCCAGTCAAAACCACTTATTTGTATCTAATTTTTTTATTTTCTACTGCCCACTAGACATCTGTGCTTGGAAATGTAGCAGATATCTTCAGCTAAACATGTCTAAAACTGAACTCCTGATCTTTCCCACCAAACCTGAAGTTATTTGATGACAACTCCATTCTTTCACTTGATTAAAATTTTAGATTTGTTCTTGTCCTTCTCTTTCTCTTATGTCCAACATCAAATCTTGGTCAAAATTGTCCCAGTGCCTCTACCTTCAGAATATGCCCAGAATCTGATTATTTTCCATGTCTCCGTAGCTGTCATCCTGGTTCATCTCTTGCCTGACGTACTGCCTTTCTTCTTTCAGTCTATTCTCAGCATGGCAACTGGAGTGATCCTGTTTAAAGAAGATAGGTCATATTTAGTTTCTGCTCAAAATCCTCTAATGAGCTAAAAATTACTCAGATCAAGTGCCAAACATCTTTACAAGGCAACACAAGGCTCCATGTGATTTTCCTCCTTCCTCCAAGTGTCTCTGATCTCTTCCATTGCTCCATTCCTAGCACCCTCTTCTCCCTGCTGTTGTGAACATGTTAGCCTGACTCCTATCTTGGGGTCTTTGCACTTGTCTTGCAACCCTCCTCTCTCTATATCCTTATAGCAAAGCATCTGACTTCTTTCAAGTCTTTCTGAAATGCCAACTTCTCAGTGAGTCCTGTCTATGCCTGACCATCTTCCCTATTCTGACATTCTGGTCTCCCTTTACTCTGTATTATGTTCCCTTTTAACACCTAATCACCTTCAAACATATCATATAATTTTTTATTGGGATTTTTGTTGTTTCCATCATTCCACCTGGAATTTAAGGTCCACAAGGGCAAAGCTTTTTGTTTTGCTCACTGTAGCTCATAGAATAACATGCTCATATAGTCATAAATACTTGTTGAATGAATGATCATATTGATTTTTTTCCCATGTAGTCTGTGCCCACTACCAGTTTTCATAGTACAACATTGTACCACTAGCTATATGTGGCTATTTATATTTAAATTGATTTAAAATAAATACATTAAAAATTCAGTTCGTCCTTAACACTAGCCAGATTTCAGGGGCTCAGTATTCGTGTGTCTAGTGGCTACCATATTGGACAGTGCTGATAGAGAACATTTTTAATCATTTTAGAGAGTTCTATTGGACAATCTGTTCTGCATTTTGTAGGAACAATCAATCTTGCTGCAATCTCTCTAACCTTTAGGTTGAATTGTATCCTGCTGTCAGCTTCATCTTCCTTAATTATTATTTTGATCATGAAAGATCAATGTAGTCTTAGAGCACAGTGAGAGCATCGGGAGTGAGATAGAATTTGCTTTAAATCCCAGGCCCTATACTTGACACTTAATTTAAATTTCTTAGTAAATTTCCTAACGTAAATTTCAGTTTCCTGAAATATAAAATGGGGGATAATATATATTTTTTAAGATTTTAGTTATTTGTCAGAGAGAGAGAGAGAACACAAGCAGGGGGAGTAGCAGACAGAGGGAGAAGCAGGGTCCCTATTGAGCAGGGAGCCTGATGTGGGACTCAGTCCCAGGACCCTGGGATCATGATCTGAGCAGAAGGCAGATGCTTAACAGACTGAACCACCCAGGTGCTCCAAAATGGGGATAATCTTTGCAGAATTGCAGAGTTGGTTCTTTCACATCATTTATAGATTCCTGAAAAAACCTTGTGCTCTACAAAGTCATGTACTAAAAACAACAGGGCATCTGGGAAAACAGGTTAGATCAGACCATTCAAAACTCTTGTAACTTTGTAATTAAAACACTAAAAATGAAAGTACAAGCACAATTTTAAAAGTCATGTTAACTTTTAAGCAATAAAAAGTGTTAACTGTGGAATTTAAAAATAAGGTGAAGGTATCTTGGTGGAAGGAATATGTCTAGATGGAAAGGAGGATAAGTCTGCAAAGTTATGGTGTCAAGGGAAATATTCATAAAACCAGGAAGAACCCATGCAAGAAATACTTCTAAGATGGAGTTTTTTTGACCAAAGTGAGCCAAAAGGAAGAACATGGAAGGAATGAGCATCATATGTAATTCTGTGTTTCTCTAGCTTTCTGCATCCAGCTGTGTTAATGTACTTTGCTTTCAGCTACTATTATTGGTAGATGGAGTGGACACTGATGGTGCTCTAGCCATATCCTCTTTAGTTCAGCTGGTTTACCCATCTCCATGAATGTTGGCGGCTCACAACTAACAGCTGCCCCATTTTCCAGAGAATCGGCCTTAGACAAACAGAAAATAATCCTACCCCCTTCCCACTGGGCATCTTCAGTCATGACTGGCTAACATTGAAGTACAAAAGTCCAGAACCCTTGCTTGAAAGTCAGAGCAACTCTGGTACAGTTGACATTCCAGAACCTCCGGTGGAATCAAGCTGACCTCACGTTCTTATTTAGTTTCTTCCCATGCCCTGTTCTGCTAATTCCTTTCTCTTGAGATCACTCCTTCAGTCATTCATGTGCACCCAGATCTTTTTCTTGCTGTATTCCTTGGGAACCTAATTTCAGATAATACTGCAAAATGGGAACGTGTTGCAAAAAATCACAAATGAACCAGTACTTTTTCTGACTTAATTCTGAAACAAGTGTTGTAGCGCACCACTTTGTACAGTCCCTCGCAGAGTTCCTGGCGCATAGTACAAGTCAATAGCAGCCATGGTGATCATGATGAAGATAATGGTAGTGGGGATAATATCACTTCCTGTCCAGAAATGTTCAGGTTTTTTCCATCACAAGCCTCATGATGTTTTAGACATACATAACTTGGGTCAAACTTACTTTTACTGTTTATTTCCCTACTGCTGCCCCACACTGAATTGTGGTTTTTCTACCAACTTTGAATTCCTTCTACTTTTCTCTCCATCAGTCAAATATCTATTGCTTTCTTAAAAAAAAAAAAAAAATCTGTTGCTTTCTAACATTCCTTTGAGTTCTGTCACTTCTAATACATTTTTCTAAGTGTGTCAAATCATTGAGATGTTTCCCTCCTCCAAACTGTCGTGTTTTTAGTCTCAGGCACCTGTTGTATCTCAACCCTGTTGATCACTACAAGAAAAACAGTACATTCGTACTTCAGATGGTATTCGGGATACTTTCTAATATTGTTTCTCTCTTAGAGAAATAACCATAGACTTTCAGGAATTTTTGTGAAGTTAATAATTTTGAATATTTATAATTGTTGTAAAATAATTAAAAGCTCTTCTAGTTTATTAAAGGGATGAAAATGTTTTTGGAATAAACTTGCCTCTTTTAGTAAAGATAACTAACTGTATATACAAGTTTTAGCCTAACTAGCACAGTGCCTTGGACATAGTAGCTATCTAAAAATTTGTCATTTATTTTTAATTTAAATGTTTACAAAATATGATGGTATTCTGTTTTATTCCTTATGCCTTACATTTAATATATTCAGAGGCTTTCAACTTCACTAACATTTAGTTGTTTCACTAATGTACAAAATGCTAAAGGACTTAGTGGGTAGATAATTGTACTCTTAATCTTTGCTCCTTTAGATTATCGACACAATGGTCGAGATCTTCAAAGCTCCACATTATCAGTACCAGAACAAGTAATGTCATCAAACCATTGTTCACCATCAGGGTCTCCTCATCGAGTAGATGTTATAGGAAGGACTAGATCATGGTCACCCAGTGTCCCTCCTCCACAAAGGTAAGAAACCATATACATTTTATTTGTAGGATGATATTAAAAACCTACCTATCACAAAGAATCATCAATAATTTCTAAAGGTAAAAACAAATATGTTCTTCAACAACCTAAATATTGAGAATAATATGAAGTATGGGCTACTTTGTAACTTTGATTGATGTACGTATTCTTTTATGTGAGAGTTCAAAATCATAAAGAAGACCCAGCTTTTCAGTTGCTTATCAATACTGAGCATATCTAGTTAGAGCCAACTAACTACACTATTGAATGATAGTTATTGATGCTTTAAGGAATAGGGGGAAATAAACTTCTGATGGGGTTTTAAAGTCAGGAGCAATCATGCAAAGAATTAAAGAAAAAACACAGGTTGGGGGAAGAATGTCTTAGAAAATCTGTTTAAATTTTATTTATTTATTTATTTGACAGAGATCACAAGTAGATAGGGAGGCAGGCAGGGGGCCGTTGGAGCAGGCTCCCTGCTGTGCTGAGAGCCCAATGTGGGGCTCAATCCCAGGACCCTGGGATCATGACCGGAGCCGAAGGCAGAAGCTTTAACCCACTGAGCTACCCAGGTGCCCCAGGCTCAGTGGGTTAAAGCCTCTGCCTTCAGCTCCAGACATTTCTTATTTTTAAAAAGGACATTGAACATTATATCAAAAACCAATGATGTACTTATACCTAGGCTAATTGAATTTAAATTTAAAAACTAAAAAAAAAAAAAAAAAAAAAAAAGAATGCTTGTCTTTTACCAGGGAAAGACTATTTGAACACATTTAAAAAAAAATAGGCAAAGTTTTAGAATAGAGTTATCTGTGCCTAACAGAAAACAATAGCAAAAGCTATGTAAGAGGCTTATTCTATCATGAAAAAGAAGTGTGTAAGTTGACAGTCCAGGCCAAGAATGGTAGTTTAAAAAAACTCATCATTGATCATTTATAAAGACTTCAATTTAGATTTTTAAAAAACAGATCATAATCATTTTCCTAAAACAAGTCACACCAATATTATCTATACACAACATGCTGAGCTCATTTTCTCCACACAAATTTATTCCTCCTCCTGTATTGCGTCAAAAATCACTGTTAGAAACCTGGGCAACATCCATTAATAATTTGATAATCCTTATCTCTGTCCTTATTGCTACCATGTTTATGTTTATCTCTGTTATAGTAGCAGTCTCCTAACTTCATTGTCAGCCTCCAGTTGAAATGTATCCCATTAGCCCAAGGTGCAATTAGTTAAAACAGAAAACTTGAACTTGACATTAGAGTGATTTCTGTCTTTTTCTACTTTATTAATAAACCTCATTTCTTAGTGTATTGTATGATTATGGGCTATTAATATGTTTAATGGGTTTTGCTGTTTCAGTCGGAATGTGGAACAGGGGCTTCGAGGGACACGATCTGCTGCTGGACATTATAATACAATTAGCCGAATGGATAGACATCGTGTCATGGATGACCATTATTCTCCAGATAGAGACAGGTAAATAGGATTAAATACTATTAGATCTTACTATAATCACTGCCTTCAGGAAGAAGGTATAACCATAAAATATTTTCATCTGAAATTTGGGTATTTGTTATCTTAGCTTCTAACCCCATTTCTTTAACAGTGCCTACATGTGTTCTCAGGACCATCGTGTAAAAAAATAAGACAAGCAAAAACAACCTTTTCTTTACTTTAAAAAAAAAAATCATCTTGCTCTTGTAGTTTTGGTCCTTTGTTAAATCAAACCAGTTAAGCTAGTGAGTTTGCACATGAGGTTATAAGGATAATTATAAGGAAAATAGATATTTTATTATTTTCATGTTATCATAACCAATCATTACATGTAAATATACTTCATGAGACAAGAGATTTATAGTCTTTTGCATTCATCAGGGAAGCCAGTGTGACTTTTTATATATAAAAATATTGACACAAGTCTGGTTTGTTTAGGAAACAGACACAAAAACTGATTCATGAAGAGGTTTTTCCTCATGGCTTTTCAGTAAACCTTTTAAGCATCTTAAAGAATTATGCTTGTTGATTGCTGTATTTGGAGGAATTCTCCAAATTTTCTCCATTAAATATGACATACTTGGAAAGAACATATATTTCAGTGCATTAATCACATTAATTACTGCTAATTTGTTTTTAAGTTAAACAAATTGGTTAACCCTTGAATTCATGGTTTAGTTCTATATAAAATGAAAAATGCTATAGTATTTCCCCCACACTGTCAAATAGGCTTGAAATAAGGATGAGCAAAGAAAGCTTAGTTTCCTGTTCAGAGAATATTATGATAAAATAACAAGGAACGCAGAAGTCTCTTTGTATGGGACCTAAAGCAATTTTAATTAGAACATCTTAAATCAACTGACTTGAGAAATTCCCAATACTTATCACTGTCAATATTTATAAATTTATTTGTTTTCACCTAAATCTAGAATTATACTCAATTTGGGCTTATAATTTCATTGTGTTAAGTATACTTTTCCAAAAGAAAAGATAGGGAACATCTATCCTAATCTTCAATAGTGTCAAACAAGTATTAGCTTTTGTGTCAGAGATCTGAGAAGAAATAGAAAGTTATTAAATTAATATCTTTATTAATTGTTAAATGAAAGTTAATGTGGTATTTTATTTTTTATTTGCTTAACTTTTTCACAGTGACCTGTGTCTTTAAGGGTAATTATAGGTATGGTATCTATAGAAATCAATTTACATCAAGTAGATACTAGTGAAAGGAAGATGAACCATATGGGCATGATCAGGAGTTGAAAGAAGTCATATTAGGATGGTTGAATGAATACTTTTATTACATTATAGAATTCTAATAAATTTTGATCATCTCTGGAAATTATTTATAGAGAGTTTCATAAAGTCCTTGTTCTTTAAAAGTTTATTAAGGCAGTGTTGAAAGAAAAATGTCTGAAATGACTTTAAATCTTTCAAGTTTTCACAAAGTTTTTCTTTAGATAAGAAATGGACTTAATATTTTCTCTGAAAATAATATAGTCTAAATTTTGCAGTAAAGAATATAATAAAATTAACTTCTGGAATTATATTCACAAACAAAAATACTCACCATCATGTCAAACATGTAATAATTTATCAGTATTTTAAGACATTGGCCATAGCATTAATGATAAAAGACTTGCTTTTAAATCTTTGGTATATAACTAGTATAGTCATAACTGATATGTCATTATATTTTTTCTTATTTATTTTACAACTTTATGAATCTTTTAGTTTGACAAAAATGTTCAAGTAATTCAGAAGTTTTGGAGGAATTTGACCTCTGGGGTTTCATCACTTTTTTAGAGTGCTGTAGATTACCAAATCATAATTACTCCTAATTGTGAGCTGTCTTAAATTTTTTTTTAAATAACTAAAATAGAATTTCTTTTAACTAGGACTATAAAACTATTTCTAACGTTATTTATGAGTTATCTGTGTAAACATTACTTATTAACATGAGGGATCAAAAATCAAAAAGTACAATAGTATCCATGTTAGGTAGTCTATCACATTATTAAACAATGCATTCTTTTTTTTTTAATTTTTTTTTTAAGATTTTATTTATTTATTTAACAGACAGAGATCACAAGTAGGCAGAGAGGCAGGCAGAGAGAGAGAGGAAGGGAAGCAGGCTCCCTGCCGAGCAGAGAGCTCGATGCGGGGCTCGATTCCAGGACCCTGGGATCATGACCTGAGCCGAAGGCAGAGGCTTTAACCCACTGAGCCACCCAGGCGCCCCTAAATGATGCATTCTTAATTTCTGTTTTATTCTTTATATTCTAAATATTTAAAAGATTTTCAATACTAGAATGCATGTGAAGACAACTGTAATTTTTATGCACTCTTTAGGAGGTAAGAATAGAATTCTTACAGTGAATTTTCATGAATAGTGTTTTATATAGTCAATCAATAATACTGTTGATTAAAAAGCCTTAAAGAGAATTTCCTTGGAGATAGTAAGTAAAATTTAGGCATTTTGAGTGGTGCATTAACTTTTCTTGTCAACAATAAATGGTGCACTGGACCAGAAGAGGATTTTATTGAATATACTTGCTGGCCGTGTTTCTTTGGGAAAATTAATGTCTTTTACACTTGATTTCCTTATCTATAAAATTAGAACATTAGTATCAACTTTATAGGGTTGTTGTGTAGATTAAATAACACAGCACCTCAAGTTGGATAGTACATACTCAGAAAATGTGCCTTACCCTTAACATTTTAAAGGATCTTGTGGCTTGTAAGTAGCAAACACATCTTAAGGTACTTATTAACTAAACAGAAAAATGAGAAATCAGTTAATACAGGTATTTTTTTAAAAGCTTTGTAGAGAGTATAGAACATGAGTTAGACCTTGAAAAAAAGCTTATTTAGGCAAGAACAAGAGCATAAGTACAGAGGCAGAGCACACATATATCAGAAAGACCCAGTGTGAAGGATGAAGGACTTGGGACATATTAAAAAGTAGTGCAGGAAGATAATGGCTTTTACATTGGCTGCATTGGGTGAGAAATGATGCTATTTCGCATCAATTTATAGTGCCTAGCTAAACTTAAGTGGTATAAGAAGGAGATAATAATGTTCATATCCTTTTCTTACAGGTAATGTTAAAAAGAATTCTATATTGGGTGCCTGGGCAGCTCAGTTAAGCAGCGACCTTTGGCTCAGGTCATGGTCCCAGGATCCTGGGATCCAGCCCTGCATTGGGCTCCCTGCTCAGTGGGAAGCTTGCTTCTCCCTCTTTCTCTGGCCTCCCCTTGCTTATGTGCTTTCTCTCTCTTTCAGGGAAAAAAAAATTATATATATATATATATGTATATATATATACACAAATATATATACTTGATTGGATATTTATATCTCTGCACATCTCACTCTATTATCATAGTCAAAATCCTATTCTGGTTTTTTTTTTTTTAAGATTTTATTTATTTATTTGAGCGAAAGTGACAGAGAATGTGAGAGGGGAGAGATTCAAAGGGAGAAGCAGACGCATGATCCCAGGACTCCGGGATCATGACCTGAGACAAGCTAGTTGCTTAACCAACTGAGCCACCCAGGTGCCCCAAAATCCTATTCTATTTTGAAAAGAAAATAGATTTTTTACAAGTGATTCAGAAACTTGGATGCCGGGTTATTAGCTAAAATGTTGAATTATAACAGACATTATTCATCTTCCGTCCATCCCCCATACTTTTTGGATTATTGTGTCTCTGGTAAATCCTGGTAACTACAACTAGGAACATAGTTTTTCTGGGGCAACCTATGTGGCTTTGGTATTAGAAACCATTTCAAGAGCTTATTTGTTTACATGTGTTAATTTACTATTAGAATAAAAATTAGAATAAGAATAAGAATTTACTATTAGAATAAGAATAAGAAGAATAAGAATTAGAATGAGAATACTATTAGAATAAGAATAGAATAAGAGTTAGAATAAGAATAAGATAATATTTCTGTAACATGTCAGAGGTACCATGCGGTAGTCATTTTTATGTCTATCCTGGATGCCAAAATATATTGGGTACATTTAATTCTATGCAGTATACCATTAGCATAATAAAAAATACAATTAACACTGGCCTAAGATACATTACTTCATAAGCTTTTTTCTTTTGTGCAATTAATACATTTATATTCTAAAAAGAAAAATGTCATATATATATATTTTTTTAAGATTTTATTTATTTATTTGACAGAGAGAGATCACAAGTAGACGGAGAGGCAGGCAGAGAGAGAGAGAGAGGGAAGCAGGCTCCCCGCTGAGCAGAGAGCCCGATGCGGGACTCGATCCCAGGACCCTGAGATCATGACCTGAGCCGAAGGCAGCGGCTTAATCCACTGAGCCACCCAGGCGCCCCGAAAAATGTCATATTATATGAATCTCTAGGATACCTCACACACTTATGACTATTTCTTACTTTTATCAGCCAATCAGCTATGAGAAAGTGTCAAAATTACCCATAACTATTTAGTCTTCTTGGTCCTTTTAGTTATCAACTACGAGGGGAACACATCTCTGAAAGTTTGAAAATATAGAGAAAGTAAATGCAAAAAAGAAAATTCACTTTACAAAAATAATACATTTTATTATATTTCAGGAGTATGTTTTAACATAGTTAAATCATACTGAGTATATTTTAGGAACTATAAAGTAGCAAAACATTAACAATACTAAAGACACAGAGCATAAAGTTTTACAGTAAGTTGAGATTGTTGGAAACTTTGTTTACAAAAACTATAGGTTATTTAAGGATGAGTTATTATATTTCTTCCTTTTGCAGTCCTTTTTGTTTGGTGGTTTCTGAAAGGGGACATTCAGGCTCATCTGATATAATGGAAGGATAATTCATTATAAATACAATTTTGTTCTATCTTTAAAGATTACATTTCTTAATAAGAATCAAAGTGTGTCTAGAAATTAGATCAGTAATCCAGTTCAATTATTTGAATAGTGAAATTTGTCATTATTATTTTTGAAACTGTAACTTTTTTTTTCACTTTTTAAAATTTAGTAATTTTTTTAGTTTTTTTCTTTTATAATGAATTACTTCTCTGCTCAGTTTTTTAAAATTTTCAAGGAGTTTGGATAAATTGCAATTTTTAACCTAATTTTTAAAGTCATAATGTGTATTCATGACAGTATGGTTTACTTGGGTTTTATAATTGCATTAATTTTGGAAGAAAAGCAAGAATGATTTAATTGAGAAGAGTAAATGAAATGTTTTAACTTGTACCAAGTGGATGTGGCAAAGGACCTTGGGTGCATCTCTGGCTCTTAGGTGGATTTTACTACCAAAACAATGGTTAATTTTATGTAATATTTTCATCGATGTATTTTTATAGTTTTCAACAGAATCTCAAGGGGGATCATGACCAGATTGGATTCAGAGGTATAACATGACTACAGACAGTAAGGATTTGACTCACATAATTATTGAGGTCAAAAGGGCCAACTATCTGCTCTGTGCAAGCTGGAGCCCATGAAATGATGGTATAATTCAGTCCAAGTCTGAAGGCTTGGGAACCAAGGTGGCTAGTGTCATAAATTCCAGTTGTAGGGCCAGAGACATAAGAGATGTCCAGCTCTAAAGTGAGGCAGGAAAAAGGGAGGAATTCATCCTTTTTCCTACCTATGTTCTGTTGAGCCTCTCACCAGATTCTGTGATGCTCACGCAGATTGAGGAGGGCAATGTATTGAGTCCACTGATTCAAATGCTAATATCACACCGAAGCCCCTCACAGACACACCCAGAAATAACATTAAATATGAGCACCCCTTGGGCCAAATTAACTTGTCATAAAAAGGGAAATAAAACAAACTGATGTTTGATAAAGTTGATCCTTGCTTAATGTTTTCTTTAGCTTTAGAGAGATAAAATTAACTATAAGACACCTCAAGGAAAATATTAGAAATTGGTGATGATATATATGTTCTGTGAATTTGAAACTTTTAATAAGTTTTGAAGTTTACATATTTTTATTGCTCAAGTAATTTTCAGAGAAGATCTATTTGTTCTTAGTGCAATAAATCCTAACATCACAGTTGTTGGGTATTACTCCTACTCTTTGTAATGCCAGGCATGTCTTTTTTGAATATTGTTTTAGTTTTTATTTTAATACTACATAGGTTTTAATGGTCTGTTTACATTTCTAGAAGTTTCTGTGATTATGTGAACCATTGCTCTCTTTGGAGGGTAGCCTCACCAGGAAAATAGTGTAATTCTGTTTTTACTTTTTAGTTCAATCCAAAATGTATTTATTGAGAGTGTCAGCATGAAGATTTAAAATAGACATTTAAAATAGATATTATCCTGGCCTAAACAAACAGATGATCCAACCAATTATACCAACTCATAGATACCAACTAATCATATAGTATACCAACTAATTATAAAGCATGGAAGCCTGTCAGGCCCAAGCATAATATTATTGGAATAGATTGGAGAGAAATTACTTGCTTGAGTAGTTGAAAAAAAGCTTCAAAGGGAAGTTGGACTTGAGAGGTTGAGAAGAATTTTCAAAGGCAATAAAGTGGAGACAAAGGGAAGATAATGGCGTTCTTGGCAGAGTGATAAGCATGAACAGTCTCAGAGTCAGGAAAGTATGAGATATATTTATAGAATCTTAGGTGGTCTGGCATATCCACAAAGAAAGTTGTAGTATGGGGGATGGGAAGTATTTGGATATGCAGATTGAAGTAGTTTAGAACTTAATTTGTATGCCGTTTTAAGGAATATGTACTTGTTTTTGATCTGTGAAACTAATTAAGGGTTTTAAGCAAAGTACCTGCATGATCAAAAGCATAATTTGTAATTGTCTCGCTTGTAGACAGTGTGGAGAGTGGATTGGGTCAGGAAAGGGATCAGAAGGAGGGGAGACAATAGGTTATTTCAGTAGACATGGTAAATCTGATTGAAGGTAGTAGCAGGAGAAAAGGAAAAAAGAGATAAACCTGAGTTATTTAAGCAACAGAACTAGCAAGGGGTATAAATCAATTAAAGGTGGAAAATAAGGAAAATGGAGGAATTAAATTATGAGACTTTTAAAATTTGGCTTGTTAAGTAAATATTTCAATCTTTAGTTAAAACTGGGATTATAGGGGGCGCCTGGGTGGCTCAGTGGGTTAAAGCCTCTGCTTTCGGCTCAGGTCATGATCTCAGGGTCCTGGGATCGAGCCCCGCATCGGGCTCTCTGCTCAGCAGGGAGCCTGCTTCCTCCTCTCTCTCTGCCTGTCTCTCTGCCTACTTGTGATCTCTCTCTGTCAAATAAATAAAATCTTTAAAAACAAAACAAAACAAAACAAAACTGGGATTACACAAATAGGAATAGCTACAGCATTATATTAACTTTCAAAGGAAGGTTAAAGAATTATATTTGAAACTAGAGGGTCTTTTAGAGATGGTGGAGTCCTTGATTCTGAAGAGGAACCTGAGAGACTGCTGTGGTGAGTAAGGAACGATGCCAGATGGATAGGGACTCGTCTTCTCACTGCCTCTTTAGCCAGAGTCATTCTGATTTTATTGGATTCCTAATGATTGGCTTTACATAAAAATTTGTTCCCAAAAAGCAGTGGTCTTCTGATCAAAAAGAAAGTTTGAAACTACTTGCTCTAGCCCCCTCATTTCACAAATGCAGCACCAGGCGTCCAAATAGGCGAGTGTCTTGCTCAAACCTCAAAATTAACATGTGTTTTTCTGAAGTGTCTACACGACAGTCAGGCAGCCATGTGGAGAGCCCAGGAAGCAGCTGGAAATGTGCTGTGAAACCCAAAGGAAAAATGAAAGCTTAACAAAGTGAGAGTTCACACTATAAAGGAAATGATATAATCCAGAAAGAATGTGTTGGAATATAAAGAAGTTTGAAGAACCCATCCTGGGAAACGACTGCCTTTAAAGGAATAAAGAGAAAGAGACTCCAGTAAATGAAATGGGTAAAGAAGCAGTTAGATGGGTGGGGAACCAGGCTGTATGTGTCAATGTTAAGAGCCTGGATTTTAGATTAAGGAAGCCCTGAGTTTGAAACCCAGTCCAGCTACTCCCTACATGGCCCTCACAGCCTCAGTTTTTCTGTCCGTGGCAATACTAGAACCTACCTCAAAGAGTTGTTATGAGAAATAAATGAGATAAAGTAGACAAACCTTTAATGGAGTACTCCTCACCTCATTAAGCATTGCGTAAATACTATTATTAATAGCTTGAGAGAATCATGTTTCAAAAACCAAGAGAAGAGAGAGTGTCAAGAAATAGAGGTTGAAAATCAATGTGTAACTCCATAGAGAAGAGTAATATGATGAAGATCAAGAAGTTAAAGGATTTTTCAGGATTACATAGGTAACATTCACAGGCTAGCTTCCAGAAAACGGTAGAGGCTGAAAGTCACATTATATACAGCGAGCTTCAAGCTTAAATGAGAAGTGAGGAAGTGGTGAAGAGAATTGTAGATATGGCTAAGATGTTGTACGATGAAAGGAAAGTCAGAGACAGGCAAGGGCTTGAGAGGAAGGTGAGGTTAGTGAAGGGTTTATTTTTAGGATTAAGTGCCGTTCAGGAATGGAAGGCATGATGAGATAAAAAAGAAGGAAGGAAGGTCATGTGGAAAATTAGGATTACAAGTAGAGGTGTTTCTTCCTTTGGCGCAAAAGAAAATGACAAGTGAGGATATAAGTATAGGTACTCTGTATTTAGTGGTAGAAATATGACAGTCGAGAGAATTCAAAATTGGTTTCCTTTTTTTAAAACTGAGACGTCATGATCATCTGCCAAAATTAAGTATGTTGGCATGAAAGGTTTTAAAGAAACAGAAAAGTTTCAGTTAGTGCTGTGGGAAGACGAGGAGCCACTAGAGGTGGGTGAAAAGGTCAGCGTGCTGCTTTGATGGCTCGTGATAGTCATGAGGCATGAAGTGTAGCACAGGCCGCAGTAGGTAATAATCATGTACTAAACATAGTGGATGGAAAAATGGATAGCATCCAATGAACCTAATAAATAAAAGTCATAACCAATTCAAGACAATTTATTCCTTACTAAATGGAATTTTAAGCCCTTTAATAATTTTTACTTATTCATGATCAAAGAAGAAATAATTATCTTATAGAATCTCCTGTGTGTATTAGAAATTACCTCTTTAATTATTTTCTTCTTCAACTTTCTTGTTATTTTATTATTTTTCTCTTCCCATCTTTCCTCCTCAAAAGGGAAAGCAACTCTGTATTGTATAACATTTTTTAGATGGTGCTAGAGATGTTTGAGTGATAACCGACAAGATTTTATTTTGAAATATGATTTGTTTAAATCTTGATTTGCTATGTTTTTGTTGTGTTTATTTTGGAATACTTGGACTATTTTAACCTTTAGCCCTGCCATATTACAATGGACATTGGGAGGAAAGGGCAAGCTTTCTAGTAACAATTATCATTTGCTTTGCTTACTATCTGCTTATCTTTTTTGAATTTCACTTTTTAAAATTAAATTATACCTTTTCATTTCTTTCCCGAGTCTCATTTATATTCTTGTTTCTGCCATGCTTGCAGTCATTTTCTTACTCTACCTCGCTCCAGATACAGTCAGAACATTGAACATCATCACAGGGATGGCAGGTATATTTTTCTTACAATTAAGTCTGTTCATAGAATTGCATGTGCCTGTCTAACAATATGATATAATTCACTTCTATTTCTGCTTTTGATATAGACATATACGATTATTCATGAAATATAGAAATATTATCCTTACTATATACATATATATATGACCACCTTCATAATTATGTATCTAGACAGCACTGGTTTTTACATATCTTTACAGTCTTCTTCCCCACCTCCCCCTCCCCCCCACCATTGAGGAGTCAGTCCTGGAAGTGCTTAGGTTGAACTGATCAGTTTATAGTTTACCTTGTCAAAGGTGGATGGGATCTACTCCAATTGGTCATAGATGATCCATGGAGAACGTTGGGTCTGTGGGAAAATCCTTGTTCATTTCTACTTTAACACCATTCTCCTTATATCGAAGGGAAGTATCAGTTACTTGGCATTTAACAGAAAGAAGGATGAACTAGAAAGAGAAAGGAAACAATTTCTCTAAAAGCTTTCAGTTTCTCCAGGCTTTATGTAGCTTTAGGGATCTGAGTCAGTTCTGTGATACTCTGAGGCCCTGCAGGCAGAGAAGAGAATGGCAGGGGTAATGTGGTAGTGGGTTCGGGGAGTATAGATAAAGAATTAAATGCTGTACTCAGTTGTTTCAGAGTGATCTGGGTTATGTATGACCACTTTTGTGCTATTCATTTAATTCATTAAGAGTTATTAATAAAAGAGTTTAAAAAATAATTGAAACTAATGGGTAAATTCCTAAGGATCAAATTCATATAGATAACATAGAAGGAAACATAAGAGATAATACCAACGATAGATTGCTGATGATGTAAGTTTTGTGATGTCTTTAAGTAAATATAATTGAAATTTAGTGCCTTCCAGTTTATTATAGGTAGTGATTATTGCTGTATTTTATTGTCTTTTGCATCTTCACAGTCTCTTTTCTGTTATTTTGTTTTAATACTAAATAATTCTTTTTTTTTATTTTTACTTTTGCTGTATATTACATTCTATTTTGGGTTTGCAGCAATTATACAATTACCTTACAAAAATGTAAGGAAGTAGTTCTGTAACTGTCCCTATAATTGACCACGACCTTTCTTAAAGTAGATAACATGAATGAGACATTACTGATTATAGGCTTAATTCTAATTACGCTGGTGTATCTTCATTTAAATGTAAGTTAAAATCTTGCACCACATTAGTTTTTTTTACATTCTACTCATCTTAGTTACAATAAGTAGATTGCTTCATATTTATTTTTTCAATGAGCCAACATGCTAGAATCAGTTCTTAATCAGCTCTGGGTTGATTATCAAGTTCATGTACTTATTCAAATTCTGAACCCTAGCCTAGCTGGCCTATTTTGCAAGATTATGTTTCTGAATTGCCTTTTATGCTATGATTTATTTTGTGGTCAGGAAACACAATATCATTAATGTTTATATTAAAGTAAGACTCAGTTAAGAAAATCAGTTTTAGAAGGCAAGTAATCAAGTGTCTCACTGTAAGATTTGCCATCAATTGCCCGATTCTAGTCTGTGAGACTATTGTGTACCTACTCCCAGACAAACTGGGTGGATTTTGTAAGAATGAAATTCTTTAGTTGCTTTTAAAAATACTATCTTTTGTCATTATCAGTTTGATATACCAAGAAGAATGTGTGTACATTTCAAAGCGTAATGATAAAATGACACCCATGAGTCTACTACCCAAACCGAAAGCCAGAATATATGATTTTACTTACTGCATCTATCTGTAGAATCTTTGCCTATTGAATCTGTATGCCTCTTTCACGGAAGTAGTTAACATAATACTGATTTTCAGTTTAACATCTCCTTCCTTTGCTTTTTTAAAAGTGACTTTGTTATTTGTTTTCACTCTGATAACTTTTTGAGATACTCAGTCTTTCTGACCCTCACCTCAATCCACTATGAGATTCTAGGATTATTGAGGGTATAATCAGGTATCCATTCTCCTATGTTTATTACCATAATGCTCTAGGTGTTTTGTCTTTAATTTAACCCCTATACCTTTGTATGTAATGCAACTGAGCACAACCCTTCCATGTTGAGATCATCTGGTGACCTCTTGTTTATACTATTTTATTCACTGAAGATTTCAGCACCTGGCTTTAGTCTAACTTCTAATAATTCCTGCGATCAACTGGAATAATGTTAGTGTTCACCTGGGTGACCTATTCAGCAGTCACTCACTTCCCTGGCTGTCTCAAAGTGGAGGTAGTAAACTTTATTCCCCAATTCTACTTTGGTCCGTCACTGCCATGGCCATATCTGAATCTTAACATTATTTGAAATTATTACACCTCTAAAATCTTAATTTGAACACTTCACTCTTGGACCAGAACTACACATGATATAGATGTATAAGTATTTATATAAATTATTTTTATATAAATAAATATAAAGTGAATACATATTATTTTTTCACCGAGTTACTTTTACCTCCCTAGCTCTTGTATCTCAAAAGAGAACTCCATGCTCTTGACCCCTTTTCCTTTCCCTGCTAGTCTCCACTTAGCTTCCTTACGTATCCAGAGGTTGAGTCCATTCTTAGAAATATCCCCAATTCCCTTGCTACACTGTTCTCCTTTGACCTATTTGACAGAGTTCAAATCTGGATCAATCTCTTTCTCTTGCAGAATTGTTCTGAACTAAATTTTCCAAACTCTCCCAACTCAGCTGAACACTTAAAGGAAGAGTTACCTCTTTATCGAGAATTGTGAAAGAAAGAAAGGAAGGAAGGAGGGAGGGAAAAGGGGAAAGAGGGAGAAAAAGAAGAAAGAGAAATAAGAAAGAAAAGAAAGTGGTGCCAACTCTCTAAGTGTCCAGTTTCCCAGCCCAGATTTCAAGGTGACATTTACTGTCATGGTCTGGAAATTCCCCTTCTGGGGATAAATATATGTTAATAGCTCCAAGTGAACTATAGTGCAGCTATACTACACTATATGAAATCTGCAATTTTCTGAATGGAACGAATGGAGTAAATTAAACACGGCATCCCCAGTCCGTGAAGAATCAGAATCACCAATCTCTCTATGTGAACATTGTAAAATGAAAAATTATGAGTGCTATCTCTTTGGAACAGATGAATAGAGGCTTAAATAATGGTTGCTAAACTTTTTATATTATTTCAGGAGACAAATATCAACTAATATTAGGAATCAAAACTCTTTTTCTTCTGACCAGGTTATGCTAATCAGTACAAATCTGAGTCACTATATTTTTAAACATAGTCGACATTTAAACAAACGTATTTAGAATAGATACCATGTTACCTTTTATTAATATCCCTTTATTAAGATATAGCCTTTATTTTATGAAATATACATTTTATCTTTAAAAATTTACCCTCATACCTTACTTTTTCCCCCTAGTATTTATCTCAACTTAAAGCTATCCACAGCATACTGAGAAATCAGCATGATGGTGGACTTTCATGTAAAGATGTCATGAAGACAACTAGACTATATCTTAAAAGAGGAATTGGAATTATTTAGATTTATATAGAGCTAAGATAGGATGTCAGTGGAATTCTAAAGAAATCTATGAGCAAAGTCACTAAAGAAGTAAGTACCATGTTTTAGTGCAATTGGAGTGTTATCCACAAGGCACAAGGGAATAACAAGAAATGAATCTGGGATGATAAGAGTTGGTTCCAGTTATGGATAATCTTGTATGTTCTGTTAAGGAATTTGAATCTAGGACTAAGTGATAGAGGTACTTCAAAGAGTTTTAATTAGGACATGATTATAATATATTTATTCATTCTAGACTAATTATTCTAGAGACTTTATGGATGGTTGATTTGAGAGAAAAGTGTGTGGGAAAGGAAAGCATGCATTAAGATATTTGCTGGCTTGGTCTTGGTCAGCAGAAAACTCTTTGAGACCCTGAACTAAGTAAGGTAATAGATGGAGAGATAGAAAGAAGACCAGAGACTTAATCAATTGAAATCAATAATACATGGTAAATAATAGCATTTGGATGTTGATGGGGAGCAAAGAGTCAAGAAACACGATGAGTCTCATAGTTTGGGTAACTGGATGCTTGTGGCACCTTAACAGAGGTGGGTGGGGGGGATGTTCAGAGAGAACTTAGTTTATGTGAGAGACAAGTTCAGTTCTGGAATTACTGAGAGAGTTAAGGAGAAACCTCCAGCAAGGAGTAAAATCAATAATTTTAAATCTTAAAGAAGTTTGAGCTATATAAAGTAATTTGAGAGTAAATTCACTGATAACAGTAAGTAGCTACAAAAAGAAAAGTGAAATCAGTTGGGGAAACAACCTGTGAAATGAAGGCCAAGGACTTTTTCTCCACTCTGGGAAACATAAATATTTAAATGATAGATAAAGGAAGAAACCTAGAGAAGGAAAGGTGAGAAGAATAGAGCTATCAGAATAGAAGTTAAAGCAGGAAGAAATTATTTTTCAACAGGAAAAATAATAACTGAAAAATGCCCATTAAATTTGGCAAGTGAGAAATCATCAGTGACATCATCTACAATGATTTCTAAAGGGGGTGATGGAAAAGAGCAGCTTACCGAGGCCTGAGGCCTGCCTGGGGGCTAAAAAAACAGAATGCTTTTTTCAGAATGTGGAGGAGAAATACTGGATACTGGAAGTGATATCAAAGTAGACTTCTTTTTTTTTAGAATATGAAATACATCATGAGTTTTGAGGCTGGACGAACAGATCCTTTAGGAAAAGTTAGATTGAAAATACAGAAAAAGGAGAGGATGACTGTTAGAAAGATCTTAGGGCAGGAGATGGGTCTAAACATGTAGATGGAGTTTATAAACAGAAAGACGCTCTTGTTTCCTTCTGAGACAGGAAGAAAATAGATAACAGAGTTGAAACTAAGTAAGTTTTTAGAAAAAGGTTGTTAAATTGAAGATAGTTAGGTTTGATAGCCTCAATTTTGTTGTTGCTATACATCAAGATTATGGTTATTATTTTTGAGACAAATTCTTCAGTGGGAGGGCCCAAG